ATCAGGAAGGGCAGGGTGGGGAACTAAGGGAGCATCATTAAAGTCAACCCAGCCCAGACCTGAGGTCCATGACATGGAACCTGGGCTGCAGGTCACAGTCCACTGCTGGGCAGAGAGGAGCAAACACCAGTTTTGTGACTTCTCCATAGTATACTGCTGGCTCAAGACTCTTTGGCTTCACTAATATACCTCATGCCTCTTAGGCCAATCTCCGAGAGCCCTAGACTAAGCTAACCATCTACCACTCCCAGTTTCTTTCAGAGCAGCCACATCATTTGACCAAGGGTCTCACATCCCCAGGATGTGTTTGTCTCTCTATCCATCTGCTTGTCTTCTTCCCCACGCTAACTTCTTGGCAGAATGCCCTTTGGAAAATTAACATTGCTTCCAGATGGAAACAGAACACGGGAAGGGAATTATATTCATTTTTTTTACATCATTGGAAATGCTAGGAAAGAGAAGAATCTGAGGTAACCTTTGTGAACTGGGGAAAAAACAAAAATCCATCTAATTTTTTTAGTGATAATGGTCCGTGCTGGTGGGGCCATGGTGAGCGACGAGGGACAACCCTTACACACTGTGGTTGGGAACCCAGTTCAGTAGAACCTTTCTGAAAAGCTATTTGCTGGGATGTATCAAGACCCTTTAAAAAAAAAAAAAAAACTCCTAGCCTTTGACCCACTAATTTAACTTCCAGGAATTTGTGCTAAGGAAACAATTGGAGACACAGGCAATGATCCTCAGCAAGGATGTGAGTTGTAGCACTATTTATAATTGCTAAAGGGGGATAATAATCTGTGTGTACACAATAAGAGAATGGTCACATAAATCTGGGTATACTCTACAATAGAACACCCTGTAGCTACTTTAAAAATATGATATCAAAGGCTATTATGACATTAGAAAATACTTTATTAAGTAAAAAAAGGCTACTAGCTATGTATGTAGTATTACCACCCCCAAAACAGTGAGGAAATATACCATGATATTAACAGTGATTATCAGTAGTATAAATCTTGTGTGATTTTATTACTTTCTTGCTTTTGGGTATCTTTCAGTTTTCTACAAGGCCATCAAATTTTAAGTACCAGAATTTTTTAAAAATTAGCTTAATTCTTAAAAGTCAACTTACTGCTCATCTTGTAGTAGCTCAGGTTTTAACTACTGTGTTGTGGAGACCAGAGAGGGTCTGCCACATCCATGATCGAACTGGGAGCCTATGGGGCAGCCCCGTCCACAGTAAGGCAGGCTTGCCCTGGCTGGTACAGCAGATGTTCCATCATTCAAGTGAGTCACCGCAGAAGGGTGTCAGACTTACAATATTGCGACACACTGTGCTTGAACTGTCAGCCACAACCCAGCATGCTTCCAGGCCTTTGAGCCTTATCTTCCTAAACCGTTATTTCTTCACTGTCCAGTGAATATCAGAGAGACTAAGTGGGACTATTTGACTCCTTTTGAGGACACTATGGACCAGCAGTCTAAAGCTGATATAAGCCTTCCATTTGAATCCAAATCAGACAAGTAAATGTTCCTTCCATGTGTTTAAGCTGCTGTTACAGTTGAGCCTTGATGTGGGGGCCTGGGAGGACCCCAGGAATATTTAGGGTAAAAAATGTGCTGGAGTGTTCGGCTCAGAAACTCCCCGCTGGACTGTGAGGGCTGCAGAGAGACCTTCAGGGGTCATCTGCTAAGATCGTAGTTATAAAATTATTTTCTCCTATCCTGTTGTCTTTGGCCTCATTAGTGGGAAAAGAGTTTGAGAATTCGATATTGGAGGTTTCAGAGCCAATAGGAAAGCTAACCATTTTTTTGTCTGTCTGTTTTGTTTGGATTTTTTAGGGGTACTGCTGTTATTTTTAAGTAACCTCTAATCAGATACTTCTGGAGGGAAAGGAACATATAAGATTATATAAAGTCTTGGGTCATTATAATCCTTGTACATCTTATTTCTCACCTATGTCTCTGAGTTGCATTTCTCACCTAAGGTCTCTGAGTTGCATCAAAACTAAAAACGTGCTCTCTGTTCCTTGGAGGAACATATTTATGTTTAGTCATTCTGCTGCTACAGGTCTCAATCATTATGGTATATAAAAATGTTCACTGGTATTGTTGATAGTGAGTTTTCTTGACATGACTCTGAAGCAAAAATAAACAAAAGGTATAATTTCATCAGTAGTTTAAAAAAAATCATAAAAGTACCATGGAGTACTTTATTGTTATACTAAAACTTCATGGTCATAAATTTAAAATTGTATTCATTTTATAGCAAATAAATGTTATTGCTATGGCTATAATACAAGCAAACAAATGAAATTCTATTAGTTAAAAATTACAGTTAACACTGTGGCAATTAACGTGGGGGTTGAAGAGTAAATTCCTATCGTCGTTATGTCTACCCTGCATTCTAACCGCACCCCCAGATAATTTCAGCCTTGTACTAGTGGCCAGGAACCACTTAGATATCCAAGGACGTGAGAAAACATTCAGAACCTACACTGTGTTCATAGACTATGTTCCCAACTATGCCTTGAGCCAAAGGCATAATTCTTGGTACAGATGAAATAGGAAACTTGAGGTGGTCCCTACTTAGAAAACCACTAAAAAGACCAAAAAAAAAAAAAAATCCTCAAAAACAAAAAGTTTTAAGGACTTTCGAACTGTCCTGTGCTAACCACAGACCAGAGAAACATTATTCCAGGCCCCTGGGCCTGGGCTGCTCTCTTGAACCTCCAAGTTGTCCTGGTCAGAACTCAGGTTCCTGGGCTAGGCTACAGTTGGGAAGTGATCCCCAGGTCATTGGTGCCTGCTAGTCATTACGTAGTGGGGTGCATTGTGGTGGGAAGACTGACAAAGTGGTGCCTTTCTTACCAGCTGCAACTATGGAAGAAATGGAGAACTGCACAGTAGTAATGAGGCAGCAGTTACTCAGGGACAAAGTCAAGTAGGAGCAGATGCTAAACCAATAAGAGTAACTTATCCCTCAGCTGATGAATCTTACTATCCTATGTTACAGTTGTTTTTTAATCTGTCCTATCTTACCAAATACATCATAAGCTCTTAATGTTAGGAACTGGCAAATGCTAAATTGTATTCCACTTATTGTCTTGATCATACTAGGTGCTTCATAACTAGTCTTTGCTGGACTAATGGGAAAAAAGAAGAAGTCATGCTCTTTTAATTTAATCTCTTCTATTATATGGATTCCATCTGTGAGATGAATCTACCAGACAAGACTGGAGACAGGATTGGGGATTTTATTGCAATTGACAATGTGTTGAGTCTTATTGACTGTCTGTTGCTGCATTCCCGTTTTCCCTTGCAACTGTGGTGGGCATCTAAAGGAAAGTCATAAATCAGTGGTTAAGAGGGCTTCTAGTACTATGGCTGGATCTGTGAAGAAGTGTGGCACAGCACTGAGGAACAGAGCAAGTCCTGCTACCCCAGAGGCAGTGCACTGCAGCGGCAAGAGCCTTGGGCTTAGAGCCAGGGGTTTGGAGCCTGAACCTTGGCCCTGTCACTTACAGGCTGGATATCTACAGGCAAGCCTTACATCTCTGAAATGGGAATTGGGTGGGTTAAATGAAATTCATTAATCACTTACTTGTAATTCATTGAATACCTATAGGCACTATTTTAGGCATTAGAGATGGTCATAAACAAAACAGACAGAAATCCCTGCCACATGGAACTTATATTCTAGAAATATAATACATTTAATGGCATTTAATAAATGTTTCATTCAGTTAGTCTGAGGATACCTGATGAACTCACAGAATGGGTATTTACTGTATATTGCCATAGGAATTTGGGTTATAACCATGAGTAATTGGGGCCATAGTTGGGTCTCATGTCTGAACGGAGAATGTCCAGTAAGTAGGACATTTACTCATTCTTGCTAAATCCTGCTATATGTAGAAAATCCGTCCCCTGGATTGGATTGCTGTCATTTCACTTCTATAACGTGCTTGGACCAAACGATCCAGCCATAGGCTGAGGTTCAGGGCCTGCAGGTGGTATTGTGGCCAGGTTGTTCCCACATGGTTTTCTCAGTCATTTGTGTTTGCACTCTCTGTGACTTGATGGGATTTTACAGAGCTGTTAAGACGTTTGTTTGTTTGTTTGTGTAATTTTTGAAAATAAGTCAAAGAGCTAGCATGACCAATTAAAATCAAATCATATTTTAGTGAGTAATTTCAACTTTTCCTCTCCAAACTTTTGATCAGCCACTGATCAAAGAACAAAACGACAGATTTAAGGTTCCCATTCCTCCTTTTTTCTACTGCCTCCTGTCTGGGAGGTTTTCCTTGAGCGTCAAAATGCCCAGAATCCATGAGAAACGAGAGAGCAGGCCTGAAAAGCAAACCTCAGAGGAATTGCACGCTACCCGTAATTGCAAGCCCTCTCCCAAGAGGTGTGTGTCCAGACCCATCCTCCACCCATTGTCATTTTTCTAATGTAATACTTCTCCAAGTCTCCAATGAGCACACAGCCCATTTAGTTAAAAACGTAAACAGGAAATTGTTTTCTGGCTGAATGGCCTGTGTGGCCCAGAAAAATGCTCATTTTTGCTGAGACACAACTTTAAAACTCTCGCACAGCACTGGAAGCTGAAGGCTGGCTATAAACTAGCCCGGCCCCAAACCGAGGCTGGTCATGGGATATTGGTGTGGGAACTCATATACACGAGGAATGGGCATTTTTCACCAATGGCCAAAGAACAATGGCACAACTGAAGAAGCTCCTTTTACCTAGAAAGCAGTTGTTTTGCAGGGCAAAGAGACATTTTAATGCTCCGACGAATTACAGAACAGGCATTACTTGGAGGACACAGAGGTTTGACCTGGAGAAATGCGACTTGGCGCTGACGACACACCCTGGGTTTCAGTGCTTCTCTAGTCTGCTCCAGCTCTCCATCATTTGGCCTTCCATGAACCTCCTGTGCTCCCGTTGTGGTTTCCCTGTGTGCTGATGAATTTTCTGATTGTTATGTCTTGCAGCCCCCCGAATCCAAGCCCAACTTCACCCCTCTCGCCATCTTGGCCCATGTTCTCGGCGCCATCCAGCCCTATGCCCACCTCATCCACGTCCAGCGACTCATCCCCCATCAGGTCTGTTGCAGGGTTTGTTTGGTTTTCTGTTGCTGCCTTTGTTCTCTCATTGGCTTGGTCCTCTCTTCATGCAGTGTTCAGCCTCCTCGTCAACTTTGTTCCCTGCCATCCAAACCTGCACTTGCTTTTTGACAGGCCAGAAGAAGCGGTTCATGAAGACTCCAGGTAAAATCACGGATGATGACCAATCTGGTCTTGTTTTTCCAAAGCTGGTCAGGGACAATGGGGGACCAGCCCCTGCCCTCTCATCACTCCAGAATAAGAGTCAAAGCTGGGAGGGACTATCTGCATGAACGAGCATGGCATTTTCCACAGCCTTCTGAACCCTTCCTTCGGTT